AACCTGCTGCTGTGAGGCAGGATTCTCCACCAAGAACAGAATCAAAAATAAACATGGATCCAGGCTCAAAATGAGCACCTTGATATGTGCTTTAGAATGGCTTAGTCTCCATTCAAACCCAGGTTTAAAGCCTTGCAGGGCAGCATAAAGCCCACTGCTCTCATTAAGACATAAGAAAAAGAAAAACTGGTCAGTTCAGGTGTTTAAAAAAATATGTGAATCAGGAAATTTTCTATATACCAAACTGAATGATTGTTGTTTTAAATTGGAAAAATTTTCTTTTTTTTAATATATTTTTTATTTAAAATTTCAATGTATGACATGGATGCATAAAAACCTAATTTTATTTCAGTGATGCATTCTGTTTAAAGATACAGATTATAATTAAAAATGTCTCCACACCTTTAATTAGACTTAGAGACTTTAGACAGATTTTATTTTGTCATTTTGTACACACAAAATTTAGTACAGCTCTCTAGACTTTTACATTTTTTAAAGTGCAGCCTTGATAAAGGTAAGCAGCAGTGATAAAAACACTGTGATGGGAAAAAAAAGGGATTTACTGGATGTTGATTTTCTTCATTTGGACACTGCTGATTTTTAATTGGTCACCCCTGTTCTATGCCATTCCTCTCTCGTTATCCAAAGGGTTGCTAATACGCCATAGGACATATTCCCTGTTGCTTTTTCACACTTGAAAGTATTTTACAAGGATTTTTAAGGTAGTGTGACACATAATACTTCACAATTGTGTTTGCACGCAACTACCACCTGTTTAGATGCAGCTTTCTTTACTCTGACACCCCCGAAAACATATCTAAAAACCAGTGGTGTAGTCTACATTATTGTAGTGAGTATACAGTGCTTAGAAATAAGCACGCCCGTAAGTGCAATGTAATTGACCTTTTTTTTTTTTTAAGCATATTTAACATTGCTTAATTTCTCTGTTGCTTACATTTGAATCAATGAACAACAAACTGTACTACAGTTGGCTTTGTATTGAAAAGACGTAGAATCTATAAAACAGTACAACAAAACATGCTTAAGTATCAAGTACTACATGTAAGTACAGAAGTACTATGCAGGTATAAACTGTGTCTATAAAATGTTCCAGACATGTTTGATTTGAGGCTTCTTATGTTTCACTTGTCTTCTTGTTTCTGTTGCAGAGCGGTGGTTTCTTAACCATGTTGTCACATACTTCCTAGGTTTAAGAAGATTAACAGGAGGCCCATTTATACTGATCATCATGAGATGACTTATATTTGACAACAACAGAGAAGATCTTTTATCTGTACAGATATTGTTCATTAAGCTGAACCCTCTTTCACACTCCGCTGTGCTACATGGAATGGTTTGCATGCAAGTGATCAGTGGTTTAAGGTTTTCAGGCTCCCTGCTATATCCTTTCTTTGCCTTGCAGCTATATTTGCTGTGATCAGTGGGAATAAAGTAGTTTTAATATGTTTTTAAGTGGGAAAGTCCACCTTTTCTAGTGGGTATACAGCGTATACCCGCGTATCACATAGACTACACCACTGCTACAAACCAAGTTCAGGAGTTAAATAATTAGCAGACAGAGCCCAATTATGTGTAGTTTAAGCTGTTTGTAAGAGAATATTAAAGAATTCTAGATCCAACACATAAAGACTTTTGATCACAAAAGGACATTTTCAGGGACAAATAAGAACTATCATCTTTTTTTTTTCAGGGAATAAGGAGATACTTACAAGCTGCCATGTTCCCCCAGCAGCATAGTGAGGTTTTTAGAAACTCTGTGCCGGTCTTCATCCTGCTCCTCTTCATCTCGCTGATTCCTGATCCCATCGTCTGACTGAAGCTGCGTTCTGCTTTTCTAAACAAATGACAAAAAAAAGCAAACATCACAGATATTCTGGATTCTATTGTCGACGTAGATCTGAGAACTTTCATATATTCAGTAGGGCCTGATTTCAGTGTTAAAACCTTGTTTTCCATGCGTGTTAAATGAATAACACTGGGGACATTGATCTGTCTTATTAGGTCTTCAACATGCATTTTTCCCTCTAGGGCTGTGATATCAGGAAAAATGACATTTGAATATAAATAAATATGAATATAAATATTATCAATAACTTTTATCATTTTAATAAAATTATTAAGATAAATACATAAATGAAAATGCATGCATTATAAATTATGTTTGGATTGTTTTAGCTTTTGATTTCCCCCCTTTAGCAATCCAAGCCAACTGGGCTGAAGCCGGTTGTCTAAGGAGGCAGAGTGCACTGACTGCCTGCGCAAATGCTGCGCGCAGGTGTCAGCAAAGGCTGATTGAAGCCAAAATAAAAGGGTTTGGCATGGATGGAAGGAGTGGGGAGCTGATCCTGCAGGTGATTGAGACGGACACGCTGCAGTGCGAGGGGCAGGTGGGATCCACGCACCAGGCACAGAATACGGGGAGGTGCCTAGACGGCATAGTCAGGGCAGAGGTCCGCACCTGTAAGTAGCGCCTGTCTCCATCAGAGTATTGTGCAGATCCCATCCGCCCCTCACTGCAGTCCGCCTCCTTAGACAACTGACTTCAGCCAGGCTTGGATTGTTAAAGGGGGAAAAGCAAAAGCAAAAACAACCCAAGCATGCAAAACACAAAAAAAAAAATAAAAAGAAAAGAAAAACACAATCATGTTTTCCCCTGGGAATGTTGTGTTGGCCGTGCGACACAACTGCACCAACACTACATCCCCCACAGCAGTGTGCACAAGTGGCAGTGGTCTGTGGGCCGGTTCTAATAGTAATTAAATATAATCCAGGGGGCCGTGAATAAACAATTTGCAGGCCGGATCCGGGCCTTGACTTTGACATATGTGCTCTAGAGCATCATGAAATGCCTTCAGGGTTTAACCCTAAAGCAATACTATCTACATGGCAAAGGGTTGTTCAGGAGGCTTGAAAGGAAACAGTCTTTTCTTTCCAACCACCACAAACGTAAACAGGTGAAGTTTGCTAAACTCCACTGAGCCTTGGTCAGATGTGACAAAGACTGCGTTTTTACTCAGCAAATACTCCAGTTGGTCCTGGAGTGAAGGGCATCTGTAAGATGTGATAAAGGATGTATGGAAAAATTATCCATCAAAGTCAACGTTCTCTGAGGATCATCTCAGTCCTCAGATTTAAAACCTTCATCCACAGGTTAGTATAACATAAACACTATATAGACACCTGAGGCTTGTAGGAACCCAAATCCTGTCTGCAAGAGTTTCTTCCTGGTGGAATCCAAGGCGTCCGGATCTTTGGTTTGCCTCCATCTCCCCTCAGCTGATCATCTCTCACCTAAAATCCAAAAATAAAAGTTTTTAAGAATTTCTGTTATGCTTTTAATTGAACAATTATTCTTTTAATTTTCTCAATATGTTCCTCCTATTAATTGCAAGAGCCTCATTTTCAGTCTGACAAGAAGTAATAGTAATAGAAGTTTATTGATCTCACTTTGGAGAAATTTACCTCTTCATTTAACCCATCCCTTAGGGAGCAGTGGGCTGCCATTGTGCAGCGCCCAGGGAGCAGTGTGGGGTTAAGGGCCGAGCTCAGAGAGCCTGAGTGGCAGACTGTGGGAGTGGGGCTCCAACTCAGCACCTCAGGATTCCAAGATCTATGCCCGAACCCTTAGGCTGCCACTCCCCTCCTGTAGTATGTGGAGGTACCCAAACATTAGGGTAATTGTAAAGAGGCCTTTAAGATCTTTGCTATTGAGAAAGCATTAAAATGCCAATTTAGATCATCTTGTTGATTACTGAAAAAGGAAAAATAAACTTAACATAGTTTTTCTTTCTTTTTGCACTTATTTCCTGTCAGAAAAATATGTGTGCATAAAAAGTGTTTTTATATCTACTGTAAATCTGGGTATGAATCATTTGAGGCTTAACAATCCTAGTGATGTCTGTCTGCATCTGTTGTGTAATGTAACATTACAGTACTTGAATTCCACTTCAGACAAGATTTTAAAATTAAAACATTTAGAAGGCTTTTCGTAAGAGTTATAAACTCTTTCCAGAGGGTATTACGGTTTCTTTCTAGTAAGCAGTAACCTGTGGAGATCTGCTGGGACTCCTCTTCATATGAACATGGACAGGCGTGCTCTCCGCTACGTGGACGTGAACCGGTGGCGGAGCTGATGGTGAACCTCTCGTTTTCATCCTGTAGTTTAAACCGTGATATTTAGCCCGAGAACAGGTTCAAGAGTCCAATAAAAATGAGGAACTCTGTAAAGGTTTAGGCGTTCCTGGTCATTTTGGCCCCATGACTCCGGAAAAAAATCCCAACTTCTGTCTGAGGAGCCGGACGGGTCTCAACAGTAACGAACGCGCGCTGTGACTCGCTGATCTTCAAGATCTGGTTCTGTGATTGGTGGAGGGGTGTTTCAAGCAAGCGTTGCCAGAGGCAACCGTTGCAAGGAACAGACATTGATGCCGTGTTGTTCAGCCTATGGAGAAATTTAAAACTTAGCCGTTTTCTGAAAAAAGTTATACCCATGGACATAAAATACACAAATTAAAAATCAAACTGAGTCTGTGGACATAGTTACTTTAACACAAAGTATCAACTTTGTTTAAAAAAAGTTATTTTTCGTATTCGAAATTCTTTCTCGTTAAAATCAACCACATTCTTGCTAACCTAAAAGACATCTACATTTAACAATTATTTATACATTTTATAAGTAAAAGAACAAATTTTATGTAATGCAATCTCCTAATGTGATGGCTAAAGCAGGATAACCGACTGCATTTCCTTTATGTAACGCTGCTTCCGTCCGCTTAGCTGGAAGCTAATGCTATCTTGCTTAGCATTAGCTAGCATGGCTTCAAACATGAGAGGCAAGCTAAGGCTAATGTGCTTTACAGGCTAATTTATAATCCGGTGCTTAGACATTTATAAGTCCCAACATCTTAATGTTCTGTTTTTATAGTTGCTCATTTGTAACATTTTATTTTCAATTTGGAGTGATAATACAGTTTATCACAGAACTGCAAACGTTAAAGGCCAACTAGCTTCTTGTTAGCATTTGATCAGACAACAGCGATGAGGTTCAGTCTGCTGCTGCTGCTCGGAGCACAGAGGAACAATTTACTGTTCCCCTTGATCTGCTCCGCGCTTCTGTTTCTGCATCCTTCAGAACCGTGTGATGCCGAGCGGCCCGAGTCCGGCACCAGCCCCGACACTCTGATTCTATGTCGGGCATGTGGACATGAGGTGGCGCGCGGCACGGACATCCACTTCGTCCCCAGCCGCTTGGCGCTTTCTAGCCGCAACGACACTTCTGTAGGCGGTAGGAGGATTCACGTCCAGCTCTTCGAGAACCCCCATGGATATCAGTTCGAGGTTATCACGTTCAGAAGAGCGGACGTCATGAAGCACTGGCCCGCAGACAGACACTTCTCCTGGTACCCAGGGTATTCCTGGACCATGGCTACCTGTCCCAGGTGCAAAACTCATTTAGGTGGGTATATTAACGGAAAATATGGGATTAAATAACCCAGTGACTCCAGTAATTCAAAACAAATTCTATTAGTGAACTTTCTAGTTAACCAAGCACATTTCCTCTTTGACAGGTTGGGCCTTCCAGCCAAGCAGCTGGCCAGATACCATCACTAACAGCAAATTTGAGGAATCAGAAAGTACATTCTTTGCTTTAATCACCAACAGAATTCTGAGGGAAGACTTCGCTTCAAGTCTGCTTATGACTCCAAAGTCCTTTACAAGCTGATGAACTTAAATGTAGTTTTTTTGCCTTTCAAATAGACTTCCCAAAAAAAACAACCGTCCCTTTTTTGAAGACTCCCACACATGCATATACAGTTTAGTTTTATTATTGTAACAAAGCAAGTTTTACACCTTAAATTTGAAACAAGTGTAAACATCAGGGAAACATTTCTGTTAAAGAAACAGCAGAGGGGAACAAAATTTACCATTTTTTTTTTTCAGTTTTATTCTTTATTAAAAATGTCATTTCAAATCTTGTGGATATCTGTAAAACAATACAATGAAAAAAAAAAAGTTCATAGAAATGGTGTCAAAATAACCACTCTCCCCAATAACAATACACTCCTGCCCCTCCCAAGCTAACCCCCAACCCCAAACATTACAAGTCAAAGGAATGAGCTGGTACTCGATAACCACACGGGGGAGAAAATAAAAATACTTTAAAGGGCACAGTGTCCCTATAAGAAAACAAAATATAGAAAGGTCTGCTAGCACTAGGTCACTACCATGGCTTCAGTTGATTTACCACACAACCTTGAACTGGAGGAACTGTGTGACAGGTCTTCATTCTACTCTGGATACTGTGCTGATTCTATTTTTTTTCTTTTATTATTGTTTTAAGATGTCTTGGGGGGGAGATGGTACTCACAATTCAAGGCAAAGTGCCACTGACCTTGAACGAGTCAAAGGAGAACATAACATGGCATCAGCAGGTGAAGAGGCTTCAGAATGGAAGGTGAAGCACATATGGATAAAACGGTAAAAAAAAAACTAAAAGAACAAAATACTCCAAAAAACCTTTTGCTCCCAAATATGAGTGGAAAAATTTATGGGGAATAGAGGGTAAATGGTCTTGCAGGTGATAGTTCTTAGTCGTCTTCTCCCTCATCCTCCTGAAACAAAAAGGCATCACAGGATTAATGTTGAGGACTAAAACCGCCTAATCGGTTGAAGTTTTCCAAAATATTAGCACTTTACCTCTCCTTCTCCTTCATCCTCTTCATCATCCTCTCCATCTTCATCTCCCTCCTCATCTATGTCTTCAAGACCCTCCTCATCCTCTTCGTCCTCCTCGCCTTCACCCTCTTCATCATCCATGTCAGGAACCTACAGATAAAAACCCAGCAGGTGATACTTTAAACCCCAATCTAAAATAGGCCTCAGATGGAGAATCAAACACTTAGCACAAACATACCAAGTAGTACTGCAGGGGATTTGGCCAGATATCATCTTTGATGACCTCTCCGAGCTCATCGGCACCAGCATCAGCGTGATCAGTGAACCAGGTGAAGAAGCTCTCAGGTTCTTCATGTTGCCTCTTCCTGCCAGCTTTGTTCTGCGTCTGACTGGACCGCTTGGTGAGATCCTACAAACAGTAGAAATAAAGCTGTGAGCAATTCACATAGGTGGCTTAGTTTCAAGAGGCTGGGAACCACGAAACAGCCTATGGTGCATCTTCATACTCTGACATCGAAAAAAGCCAACCAGATACAAAACAATCTGAACAGCATCACTGAACACTTAAGATACCTTTCCTGATTTCCATTTGATTTCTGTTGATTTAGAGGACGGGTCTCCGCTTTCATTGAGGTGGAACTCTTTGGAAAGTACTTTGTTTTCAAAGTACGGATTTTCATCAAAATACTGAAAAAAGAATGAAATCAAGTACGGGATTAATTCACATCTTAATCGTCAATAGTGAGAAAAAAAGGGAGAAAAACTAGTAAAGCCACTTACAAAATCTATTCTGTAGCCTGACTTGATGTCTTCAAACTCTGTCACCTCCACTCGGCTCAGGTAGTGAAGCGCTTCTTCATCCTCCTCTCCCAGTAGAGCAGATACTGTCACGATAAACATCAACGAGGCAAATTTGTACTTAAAGCTTCAACTAGAAAAGTTGTGTGAAAGAGAAAAAAAACAGCAGGTTTTATTCTTTAATCGCTTACCCTGTGGATGGTTGACAAATGTGGTGACCCAGAAGTTGGGGATTTTGGCGATCAGCTCTGACCTCTTCTGAAAGAACGGCTGGCGGAGTTTGTTGTATTTCTGTTCTACTTTCAGGATTTCCTCACTGGCCTGCTCATTCAACCTAATGAAAAAAAATATAAAAAATTAAAAATAAATAAATGTACATATCCTGGCACACACCCGCTTAATTAACCAGCGATCAAATCAACATTTTGATCTTAAAAGGTTTTTGTCCAAATGAACCGCAAGATGTGAAACACAAGGGGCTAAAATTACTGAAGTTTTAACATCAGTCTCAAATAAAACCATGTCTTTAGCCCTTATTCAAGCAAATCATTACATAAGATTCATTATTACAAACATTAATTTTTATAGATAAAAAAAAAAAAGAAGAAAGCAGGCAATTGTCTCCGTGTAAAAGTAAGGTAACGAAAACATTTACCCATTAAAAAGAAATAAAATCAAGGATCAGTGGATGAAAGATCAACCCTCAGATAGAAAAAATATATTTAGAGACATTTTTGATATTTTATATATATATATATATATATATATATATATATATATATATATATATATATATATATATATATATATATTTTAAAACTAATTTAAAAGTTTAGAAAAATATACTAATATAGGTAGAATTTCTTAGTTATATACTTCTAACTCCAAAGTCTTTTTGCCCAGAAAACAACCCCAAAATATTTTTGAGTTTAGCCATGTCCTATAACTATGTTCTAAATGTGCAAGTAAACTATGCCACTAAAACTATTCAGATATTTAGTCTAAAGCTAATTTAAAAGAAAAAACCAACTACACATGTTGAATTAAACCAAACATCCACGTTTAAGTTACAGAGAAAAGGCATAGAAAAAGCCTTGATATCAATTGTAATAGACCATTAAAAATGTATATAGATTTATTTATTAAATCTTGCTTTAAACAAAATCAGCATTTTCTTCTTACCTGTCAATTTCATTTTGAACTTCATCGATGTGTTCAATAGCTTCCTGCTGCTCTTTCTCTGTGGGTGAAAAAAAAAATCTTATTTAATAAAGATATAAAATACATTTATTTTATACGAACCTCCATCTTCAAACATGACCCAACTACATCACGTTTTTTAAATAAATAAACTCCAGTCTATTTTTACTGTTAAACCATGATCAGTGGAGGAACGATGAATCCATGGTATATAACATTAATGTTCTGTATTGGTGGCGGGGCTCTGACAGAGAGTAAAGTAAAGAAAGCGGCCAATGGCTGCAGCGCTCTCCCTTCAGGCTCTCGCAGTTTCCTGCCGGCTGCTGCCTACAGGGCCGCGTGGTTTAAATGTGGGACAGCAGACTGCTCACACAGCCGCGGTAACAGCAGCGAGCTAGGATGTATGCCAGGTTACACACCTCCTCACAACCGCTATTATCACGACGGAGCGCTGCTCCCATAAAGCAGAGGCTAAGCTCTCAACCACAGACCGAGAGGTGATTTAAATGCGTTAACAAAACAACGTCTGCTAGCTCTAGACAAGACTACAACAACAACACGAGCGGGCTAGATGCTAATGCCCGAATGAAACGCTCACATATTCTATACACTATACCCCACAACATTAAGGTGAACACATTTTCAAACGGTTATGCACTTATATAGGGGTATAATTAAGACTAAACATCGATTGTTTAAAATGGAGCACTCATTATCCATCAACTTAACTGCCATTTACCCCGGCTAACATGGCCTCTCGGCATCAAACAACGGAGCAGCGGCGGCATGCTAAAACACGTTAGCCCTTGAAAATACGCAGCCGCTCTTACTACGAGCAGCAAATGCACCCCGGCGGCGTACAGCAGTAACAGTGGGTCGTTTTGTCCAAATGCAGACTAAACAGGAAGCATTTTAAGCACAATAAAACATTATTAGAGAAGAAAGTGAAAATGGCGGTGAACAGGAGGCCGCCATTCCCCTTACCGGAGGTCTCGTCCGCTCCGTCATGGTTCGAGTTCAGCTCCTTTTTACTCACTTTCGCCGCCGAGGCAGACATTTTTCTCTTCTTTTCGCTCGACGAGATTAACCGTCAGACGTCTGAGGGGGAAAAAGGGATGGTGAATCTGAATCTCCTTGAACAGGAGAGCGTTAATTCGCTGTAAAGTTCAGCGTGGAGAAGCCAACAACGTGCTGCTGCCTTCCACACAATGTAGCTGCCGAAGAAGAGCGAGGAAGTCACAGGCAGCCTTTCATTACGAACGCGCCGCGCCGACTGGAGCGGAGGTTCAGCTCCGCCTCTCAAAGTAGGTCTCCCTACTCCGCTTCAATTTGCTCATTTACTCCCATCTCCATTCTTAAAATAACACATACGACCACCAGCACCTCAAATTATTACTTTTAATAACTAATTTAAGATGAATAATTCAAAATTTTTTTGAAATTACATTTTCCAAGGCCGGGCCAAATCTTCTGTTGGGCCGACTCGCACTTGCGCACTTATAAAATAAGCTGAATCTTTGTAGAAATGGGGGGGCTTGTTCATGGTGGCCAGCGCTAATTAGCACCAACAGAAAAATGGCTAATTAGGACATTTTCTCTGTATGTTCCGCCCAGTTAGACTTTTTACTTTGTCAGAACATGCTTAAAATAAGACCGCTTCTTATGAAAGCCTAACGGAAAAGCAGATATCAAGGGAAACACTCCATATTTCTCCCTTTTCAAAGCCTAATTGCAAAGTGAAAATCCTGACTACATTGTTCAGTTTTAGTTTGCCTTTTTGTTTATTTAATTTACTATTAATTAGTTACAGTGATCTCCAAAAATACATACATGAAATTGTTCTCCATCCATCCCTCCAATTTAATTCAATTCAGTTTATTTATATAGCGCCAAATCACAACATGTCATCTCAAGGCACTTTACAGTTCACCAGATCGTACAGTCAAATTGATTCAAAGTTTTCTATCTAAGGAAAGCTCTAGGAAATCCCTCACACTAAGCATGCTTGTAGCGACAGTGGAGAGGAAAAACTCCCCTTTAACAGGAAGAAACCTCCAGCAGAACCAGGCTCAATGTGAGCGGCAATCTGCCAGCTGACTGGGGTTCAAGGTGACAGAGGCAGAGATACAAACAGCAACTTTAAAAGGCGGACCCATGCAGGAAACTCACAGCCAGGGAGACGAGCTCCGAGACAGCTCCCATGTCAGAAGATGAAGAGAGCACATCCAGCCAGTCACAGTCAGAAAAACAGGACTACACTGGAAAAACAGGCCGATCTCAAACATCTGTAACATCTCCATACATCCACATTGGTTTTTAATAAATTGGAATATTATTGAAACATTATTTCATTTCAGTAACTTTATCTCTTTGTCCAGTGAAATAAAACCTTATAAAGATTAATTGACACATAGCTTCAAGCTTCTTTTTGTGTAAATTGTGATTTTCTTTGCTAACAGCTGTTTTAATTTAAAAGTACTTTCAAATTTAAACATATAATGACGATTATTTATGATTGGAATATAGAATAGAACAGAATAGAATAGAAAATCATTTTATTGTGGCACAATGTGGGAATTCTGGTGTTTAAAGCAGCAAAAAGAAAGAAAAAAATGGTCACACATATTTGGACTTTAGAAAAGTTTATAAGAATAACATAATAGTGAAGAGCAAATGAAATACTGTACTGTAAAGTGTTTAAACAATATAAAAAATCTGCACCTGTAGAATAAATAACCAATATACAGCTGGTCATTTTTGGATATTGGAAAATAGCAGCAACATCAGAGATGTGCAAAATGACAGCAGCCTGTTATTTAACTGACTAAGGCAGAAACTGCAAAAATCAGCATGAATTTAACAACTTATTTAGGTTGTTGGTGTGGTGGTGGTTATAGAGTCTTCCAGCTGCTGGGAGGAAAGGTCTGTGATAACGCTCCCTGGTGCATTTAGAGTACAGCAGTCTGTCACTGAAGGAGCTCTCCAGTTCTGCAACAGCTTCATGCCTGGGGTGGGAGACATATAAGAGCTATAGTAAAAATAATACTGAAATAATTATCATAAGATGCATTCTCATTTTTTAAATATGATTATATGAAATGCGTGAACTACCTCAAATGACTCTTTTTATGATTAATAAGAGAAACTCTTTTTTTTTTAGTTTCAGTGCATATCATCATCTTATTTTTTTATGACCATCATATGCAAAATACTTATTTAAACACTTGTAACTGGTGGTTTGTTCTTTTGGTTAAGCTATATAATTTGATCATCGCTTAGAAATTAAACGCTGCTTCAGACTCATTTTTCAGCACAGCTGCCTAAACTTTTACTTGTAGGTTTCAGGTATAAATCTAAGCAAATAAATACAACAACAACAACAAAAATAAATAAACACTGAAAATAAAAGTAAAAAAAAGGGTCAAAGAATCAAAACTGTAAAATCCCCAATTTGACGTTATGATGTCGACTCTACAGAATAAAAGAACAGTGGGCAATATGGAAGTTAACTTACAGCTTTAGCTTTTTTTCTCTGTGAATTTACGATGTCTGCTGGATATTTAGTTCGGGAAGGAATATGAGAGTAATGCTGGATCTATTCTACTTAAAAAGTATCAGCTGTATATTGTTTCCAAAAATCAACCAATTCTCACAAACATACATACAGTCCTAACAGTATATTTGTTAATATGTTTCATAGAATATTCTACCGCAGTTAAAATCTATAGGCATCAATAAACAACTCTTGGCAGAATTTGTAGAATTAACTAAGATTACTTTAAGTTTGCTCTCTTAAAAAGTCTAGTAATGAATGTTTTGGGGATTATATTCCTAATGGATTACCCAACTGGTTACCAATGTAAACCGGCACATTAATTAGGATGGTTAGGAGCAACCAGGTTGAGGTGTGCCATGAAATGCTGAATAAACAGTATTTCTCAGGGCCGTTACATTACCAGATTTTATGGCAGAATTTTAGCAAAAGCTTAAACAGCTTACATCCTTCTAAATACTATTCTGTATTACAAAATCGAAATACAAGGGATTCAAATCTATTAAAACCTATCTGAAAGAAAATAACACAAAACATTTACGTGTTTCAAACTGTATTACAATTAGAACTCCACTCCAGAGGACTCCTTTCCTTTTAGGGAAGTATAGATGTATTCAAACCTTCCAAATTACCCTGTATAAATATAAATTAGTCTACAATGCAACCCTTTAGTCTACTGTAATAAAAGCTGTGATTATAAACAAAGCAAAGAGGTTACAGAGAAGAAGACGGTCCACTCAGAGGAACAAATTTAATGTTATTGCAGACAAAGATTAAAAATAAGGCTTTTGATTATGCTAACTGACCACAAACTTGACCATCTATCTGTGCTGCCTGCTTGTAGCTGAATCTCTTTACTTTAAATCTCTTCTCTATTTTTTCAACGGAATCTTTTCACATTATTAACCAACCACTATAATCTTAGTTATTTAAATATTTGCATTCAATCTGAACACTTAAGGCATGTTTTCATGTTGGGAGACATCAGATCAGACTTGTTTCTTTATGACATGCAGCATTGATGGTACACTGGAAGATGAAAGGTTGAGATGTGAGTTGGGAAAAACCTTCAGGTCTGTCTGCAGTTTTTTCTTGGTTGTTAAACTGGCAGAGTTTGTTTCGAGTTTAAAGGGCTGTCCTATCTAGAGAAAAGCTGGTTTTATCTAAACCATTTCACCATGGGTGCTGAGATGATCTGACAAAACACAGAGAAGCAATTGGGGCGCAACTTGCTCAACAACAGCTAATTAAATTTTGTTTGGAGCATATGTACATTTCTGAGCTTAAATGTACAACTTTCACACAAAAAGGAGACATTTTGCGTTTGATTCTAGTTTTTAATCATTAAATCAGTTTTAGTTAACAATAATAACCTTGGTATATACCTACCTAACGTTCAACTTACCTTGGGGCGACAGTGGAGTCGTATGTAGGAGTTTACCCTCTAGTGGAAGGGTTTTATTGTTTAAGACATTAATGTTCTGGCTTTCGGTGTCGTCTCCTTGGGTAAGACACTTCACCCACATTGCCTTCTTTCTTTCTATCTATCTATCTATCTATCTATCTATCTATCTATCTATCTATCTATCTATCTATCTATCTATCTATCTATCTATCTATCTATCTATCTATCTATCTATCTATCTACTTCTGCCTTCCTTCCTTCCTTCCTTCCTTCCTTCCTTCCTTCCTTCCTTCCTTCCTTCCTTCCTTCCTTCCTTCCTTCCTTCCTTCCTTCCTTCCTTCCTTCCTTCCTTCCTTGCATAACAATTGCAGCACACCCCTTTTCCATTTATCATTAGTGCAAACCAACTATAGGAGGCTTTTATTGTTTTATTTATTCACTTGAGGCTGTCTTATTTTAAATGTGTCCCCTTAAGTCAAGTTATGTTAGTGTGTGTTCATAAATCATGAAGAGGAGGACCACAGCAACCACAAGGCTGTTGTGTCCTTGTCAAATGTCACTGTGGGAATTCGCTGTTCTAGCAGCAAATCCAGCTCTCGCTGTCTGGGAAAAAAAAAACCCAGCAGCTGCTTCTGCACTTCCATTGCCTGAATGTTTTGTGTGCAGCAATCAACATAAGATCTCTCACTCTCTTTTTGTGTAAGAACAGATTAAAGCAAAGTCCCAAACACTGCAGGCTTATCTGGGCTCTGTCCCGAAGAGAGCAGCAGCTTTAGCAGCAGCAACTCTGGGGTTTGCCTTTTGGTTGGTGGCAGAACGGGAACACGTGGTCATGCAGCGGCCAATGCCGATCACAGGGCAGGCAATCGGTTCTCAGAACAGAGCCAGTAGCGGCTTTCTGTGCAGAAAGAAATCCCTCTTAAAAAAAGACAAGACACACACACAGACTGAGAGAAAGAGAGAGATAGGGAGAGAGGGAGGGAGGATTTGTTACAGAGCAGAAGATGAGGATGCAGAGGGAAGAGGATGTTGCAGGGGAGGCTGTAGGGAGGTGAAAACAAACATCACGACAAGCCTTGTGGGCCCAGTCCCAAGATGTAGGCGCTGATTGATCCAAGGGTGTCTGTGAACACACCGTACAATCCAAGGACTTGTTGTGATTCAAGGATAATCACAACACATCAACCACATCCACCACCACTTAGGATGACAAATTAGTGTTTACCAGGCGAGGAACCATCCCAAGGTAAGTGAACTGCACAGTCAACCTGTTTTCACCTGACTGGAGCTTGTTGTTCTCACTTTTTCCATGTCTCTCCTCACTTGTTTTTGTCCAGGTTCCACTCAGATTCCACACATTCTTCCACATGTGTGTCTTTTTTAAAGCATATATTTTACTGAAGGATCTCTGTGCTGAGCGACCGCTCAGTTTTTAAACGTGCTGAGCTGTCAGTGTCAGAGTGGGGCTTGACACCTCTTGATGCGCTGTCGCTATCCGGGATCAGATGTTGTCCACAGCTCAGCAGATGCTGCAGGACAGCCGCTCCAAGATCGAGCTGATCCGACTGCAGATCATCAAAGTTACGCAAGCTGGCGGCAGCGGCGGTGGAGAAGGTGGAGGAAACCAAAACATCTCTGCTCAGGGAGGTCAGTCCGAGGGGAGGGGTGGGGGCGGTGGTCTATCAACTCCCTCGTATTCTGCTTTATTGAAGCTGGGAAATGAACTTTAAAGGAGACAAAGAGGCAGATTCTGCACATCATAATATTCAGCACACAGGTTTATTTTAAGAAGCACAAATTGGTCCCAGTGATCCAAGGGAAGATTTAATCCTGGAAGGAATGTTATATTTATTTATGTATTTATTTTTATTTATCAGTCAGTTATTCTGCAGTAGGAAGTGTGGCTGTGGTTTGTGGTAAATCACTTTCATGCTTTGCTTTGCTTCTCTGTAGCAGTGGCATGGATTATGCATAAAAAAGTGGCGGTTCTAGACCATACAGGGGGACCAGAGTGGGGTCGGTGTGTTTTTAGCAGAGCACAGAAAAGCATGAAATGAAAAACATTATATATTTTAAATGAAAAACAATAGTTTTTTTTATTTTAAATATATAAGTGTAAGCCACATAACCAAAGAATGATGCGAAAGATCTACGTCATTTAGTTTAAGTAAAATTTTATCTTGTTCCAATTGAAAATATGTATTTTTGGCTTAAACATGTTAATTTGACTTACCTAAAATTAGAATTCCCGAAGAAAAAAAAAAAACCCAACTAAAATAGTAACACATTTATGAATATGTACTAAAAGCTCAAAATAAAACTCTAAATCATAATTCAGGAATATTACATATTTTTATTATTTAAAATGGAAATGATCAGTTATAATAAATAAAAAATGAGAAATTAAGCAAAACCGATCAATTCAGCTGGAATAAATTAGTTTTGTTTCTTTTTTGCTCTGAAAAAAGAGTAAAACTGTGATTCTATCTTAATATAACTAAAGCTAACTACTTCATTTTTAAATCATAACTAAAACACAATTGTGAAGGAAAAACTAATTGGGTCCAAGGTACCAATCAGTCACTGTATCTGTTTCAGTGCATAACATAATTAGTTTTTATTTAATTTTTTTTAGTACGGGGGCCATAACAGGGGCCCGGACCAGTTCTACAGGAGCAGTGGTCAATGCTGATGCCTTTGGCAACATTTCCATTTAAAGTAACTTTTTTTTACACATCTCTCAAAAGTTAACACAGCAATTTAATCTAACTGTTTTTATTTAGAATTGGGCGAGTTTGAGAATAATTTAATGCTTCTCTGGAATGATAGATCTATGGAAAGGCAGACACATATAGGACATGGATATCTTTGTAAATAAAGGCCTTATTTAAGCTTCATTTTCCAACAGATATATTGGTTTTAGAGAAAATTCTGCAAAGGAACTAAGTCCTCCTTCTGCATAACTCTGAAATAGGTTTGTTATATTTTATTGTTATATTTTATGTTGATGTGACAATTACATTTTTAAGGAAAACAACATTTAAAATACTTAATGTTATGCCTGTATTTACAGGAAAATAAAGGGTTTCACCTGTGCCATTTTAGTCCAAAGAGAGCAATAAGTGGGTAACATTTTTAGTTTTTTTCACTGTAAATGCAGACTGTGAAAATCCTAAAATCTAATTATTTAAATGAAATAATAAATGTAAATGTAGATATATGCCTTATTTTATCTGTGGATCGCATTGAATTAAACTTTTTCTGTAGGATAAGGGGAGACCGATCATCAGAATTACATTTATGATAACTATTGCAAAAAATATGATTTATTATTAGTAAAAAAAAATACATGCGCACCAATCAAAACTTGAAATAACTGAGCCTTCCGGAGGACTGTGATCAGTGTGTTCAGTGCTACGGGGAAAACTGCTCCTAAAGGATTTGTTAACAATGGAGGAAAATTCCAAGTGTAAAGGGGAAAAACATGGCTCCCGGCATAGGAAATCTGAATCAGGTAACTCATCAGGTCAATTCTTCAGCTTGAATTTCATCCCTCCGACCTCCTGACCTGCTTCCTGCTTGTTGTTTCCTTGTAATGTCTTAATCTTTGGGGAAATTACAGCTCTCTTTGCATTGACTTGCTTACAAGAGGCCTGATTAATGTGAAATGTGAGCATGTTGCTAAATGCAACACATTTTACATTGACTAATCAAATAATATTTTTACTTTCCGTGCGTGTTGATTTTATTTCCCTGTTTCGCTGAAAAACAATTATTTTCGACATAGTTTTTTTTAATCAGACTCTCTCTTATTCATCTGCTGAAACAGCTTTACCCAACGCTACAGGCCTTAATTGCTGTCAGACTAATGCTTTTTAGATGTTTGCTACCTACATATATAGAAAAAACTTGAATCTAACAAAGTAATAATAGATCAAATATTCTATGAAAACAAACTAATAAAAGTGGGACGATTTCACCATGCTTTGATAGAAGGATTTTTAAAATAAACTCATGGAACAGACCCAGATTTTGTTGCTCAACCCTTTAAGGCAATCAGATGATTCCTGCAGCTGTCAATAATCCTTCTGCTCCTCTCAGCAGGTATTTTTGTCCCTCTCCTTATAAGCAAAGTGCCTGTTTCAGTTCTTTCCAAAGATGCTTTGTTAGATTTGGCTAAAGCCCCATAGAGGGCAACTTTGGAATAGTCCATTGTCTTCCTTTCCATTCTTGGTGGTTATTTGTTGTATGTTTTGGGTTGTAATCCTGATTTAAGACTCATGTGACTGAGATCAATCTGACACCGAGCAGCAAATTTCCCTCTAGAATATCTTGATAATATTGAGGTTGTTTTCAACCCTTCAGAGATTCAAGACACCCAGTGCCAGATGAAGCGAAGCAGCCCCAGAGCATAACAGAGCCTCCTCCGTGTTTCATATTGGGGACAGTGTTCTGTTCTTGATATGCTTCATTTTTCTGTCTGTGAACGTTTACAACTAATGTTGCTTGGCTAAAAATAAAAAAAGAAACAATTGTATTTATTTATCTGTCCATAGGAAAGTTTCCTGTAGAAGCTTTGTGCTTGTCAACATGTAGTTTGACAAACTCCAGCCTTGCTTTTTAGGATTTGTTTTCAACAATGGTGTCCTCCTTGGTCGTCTCCCATTAGGTCCACTTTGGCTCAAAGAATGACAGATGATGCTATCTGACTCTGATGTTCATTAAGCTTGAAGTTCATCTTTAATCTCTATATAAGGATCTCTATATTTGCTACCATTCATATAATCCTTCTCTTTGTTTTGTCATAATTTTTCCTCCTGCTGCCAGTTAGCTGCACTCTCATGGCTCTAGCATTTTTTCAATAATATGTGTAAATGTTACCAAACCACACAGCGACTACCTGTAGCCCTATAGATCGGCCCACAGATTGATTATTAGATTCTAGACACCTGTTGTGCTCAGTAGTGGACATACCTTGATTTAACATGTCTATTTGGTTATATTATTTTCAGTCTTTTGTTGAGGTACCAGACCTGTTTCATGAGTTTATTTATTTTTTTAAATCATCCCGTTCAAGAGTGTTTGAACAGCAGTGTTTGACTTCAATTTATTCATTTTTCTAGGTTCTTTATTTATTCTTACTTTTGTCAGATTCAAGTTTTTTTTTCTGTGACAATTTTGGGTTATTCTTTCATTAAATGAGCAGAAACAAACAATTTTAACAGTAAAATGTTCTGGTCTGTTTAGTTGTTTTGTTGTATAAATTGTAATTCAGTTATGATAGATTTTATCCCTACAAAAACAAGCTTTAACAGAGAAATAAGGTGACATCAAATAAAGTAAATAATCAGGGTTCTTTAGATAATATCTGTTTATGTTTACTTTTATTTTGAGCCCTCTAAATGTGTTCTTTGTCCAGAAGTTAAAAAAAAGCCCTTGAAGAGGATTGTGACGCACCTGAAAGGCAAGATTCTGTTGTCAAAGAATTAGTCAGTCAACATTTTTTGGATGGAGTGGGGCTTATTTTGCATATGCAGATTTCCATCTCCTGTAGGTTTCCTGTAGTACCGAGTCCAGTCCTTTCCATCAGGATTCTTGGTTAAATTAACTCTAATTCTGAATCAAAGAGGCAAGAACATTTTATTCTCATTTTATTCTACTATACTACTACTAAGTTAATTGTCAGCAATAAGGTTGACAACCATTAATCCTTGAGCCTTTTTAATGTCTTTAAACCTAATTTATACAGAGAAGGGTTAAAAAGTTATTTTTCCTTTGTTGTTTCTTTTAAAATCTTTGTATCATTTCAGTGGAAATCCAGACTGCATCACCCGGCTGTGTTTGACTTTTCATTATAAAGTTGTTGCTGAAAATAAAGCGCATCATGGGATAATGTCTTTAACGCTCACACCAGCTGCTCAGGAAAAGGGCAACAGATGTTGTCATTAAGTTTTTTGGTAATGATTAATATTATAGATTCTTTTATCTTCTACTGCTATTAATTTGTTGACAGTTGTTGTTACTACATTATTAATAGCATAAGTAGCCCTTTCTGTACCCATATAAAAATTATCTTTATGTTAGAAAAATACAAACAAACAAACAAAAAAAAAAACAATGACATTCAGACTTGCATTCTCTTTTTTAATCCTTGACTTATTAAATCATTAATAAAAAAATCCCAATAGTTTGAAAAGCTAAGCACACAAAAGTGAAGAAAATACACCTGTGATATTCTGCCATAGTCATGTAAATTTAGCATACATTAATATTCAAAATGAGTAAATAGTTGAACAATATCTCCTCAAATAAACATTACAGATTAGAAAGTGTAAACAGTTTAAGTTTAAAATGACTGCAACATCACGCATGTTAGAATAAGTAAAAAACAACCAAACCAAAATAATCTCCTTCTACCCCTAAAAGAACATTCAGTTTGTTGAAATGAAGTGGACTCTGATGCAGGAATCAACCTGACAGGAGGCTTTGATCTGCTTCACTGAAACTATTCATGTTCATGAAATATTCAACTAAAGTGATTGAAGTACTGAGAGTAATGCCTCCCTGTCATATAATTCCCCTTAGACTTTCTCAAACAGTTGTGCTTAAAAGTTTACATACCTTCCATTAAAGACAGAGAAAAATCCGCCGTCAGTAAAATAAATCCAAAATGACAAAAGTAATTATAAAGTAATTAAAAAATATTAGTTTTATAATTAATAATTAATTTTATAATCTTTGTCTTAGAAATGTCTCCCGTCTCCATCGGTCCTATGGACAAACGTCTGGCAGAGCTGCAGCACTACATGCAGAGAGAAACAGATGCACTGGTGCTGCACAAAGACGTGGTGAAGCAGCTGAAGGGGATCTCAGAGCTGGACCAGAACGCCTTGGCTGAAGTAAGCATTTACAGTCACAGGAAGAAGTTATTGTTCCAATGCTGATTTCCGCTGTTTTAGGGTTTGGTAAGATTTTACATCTAAGCATTTTTCAGAAGCCAGCTAATCATTACAAAGCTGTCCAGACGATTTTTGACTCAATGTGGAGACGTATTTCCTCCCTTAGACTAATAACTGGTTTTTCTGGTACGCATCATCCATCAAACGGTTGAGATAACTGGAGATAAGACTGCAGTGAAAGGTTTTCAAACACTATTTTCTACAGGATTGGTAGCGTTTAAGTATGATTAAGGTATCTCACAGCATTTCAATTGGATGTATTTTGACAAGACCACTTCAGAGCTTTCGTTTTGCTGTTGTTTTTTTAGGTGTTTTAGATGTGACCCTGCTTGTGGCTTTGGATCACAAACCAAAAGCTGGGCATTTTCCTTTTTGATTTTCAGCTACAGAGAGGAGAAGTTTCATCAAGTCCTGCAGTTCTCCCAGGTGTCAAAGCAACAGAGCAGCCCCATACCATAAAACTACCATCACCATGTTTGAGTGATTGTTGGATTTTCCTTTCACTGCAGTCTCACCGTTTTGGAAATAGTTTCAATGATGCTTTGCAGACTGATATAGTCTAGAATATTCTTAAGCTGCCTTAGACTGAAGGTTAATGTGTTGCTTTTTTAGATCTTCTCACCTACATCATGTTGGACAGGATTTATTTTGATTGTGTAGTTCTGGCAGTAATCGGGCCTGGGTGGTATATTCAACAAATAGGGAAACTAATCTGCCTTGGATAGTTTTAACTTCTATTTCTATTTCCTTAGTGTCAGGGTTTGGGTATGGTTCAGGACCCAAATGCAGAGGCAGGGAGGCGGGGGTGAATTTTTGAAAGGTTCACAAACAACTGAGGCAGGAATCCAAAAATAAAAAAAATCCAACATTTACAAAGTTAAACAACCCAGAACCATGGAGACTTCAAGGGAAAACAATCACGACGAGGTATGACACAGTAAGACGGAGACTGAGGAACTGCACCAAGGCAGTATTAATGGGACACTGAAAAAAAGAGAGGACTAACGAGCTGATTGGGAGCAGGTGAGGAGTTTAGAAAGGAGCTAGGGAAAAAAGAGACCAACACAAAAGGGCAACAAATAAAAACCTAAGAACTGAAATATAACCAAAAAAACACAAAAAAATAAGAAATAAACCAATAAAACTAGAAAACTTGGAGCAAAGTAAAACTGAATACTCAAAAGAAAACATAACAGAACCAAAACTGTGCCACTTACATTAATAAATATTAAGTATTTTTGGTGATTTAAAACGTTTCTTTTCTTATGCCACTGTGTGTTTATATCTTAGTTCAACAAAGTATTGTAAAAGATAAAAACAAAATGTTATTATTTTTAGGTTTAAATATGAAGGCAAGTGAAGCAATTTAAAATTCAACCTTTTTCCTTTTTTTTCAGGCTCAGTTTCGGGTGCAGGAGTCCTCCCAGAAACTCGAAATTCTCCGATCATCCCTGGAAAAATGCCTGCAGGAAAAGAACCAGGAGGCCCAGAAGCTTCCAGCAGAGGAGTCGGATCCTCCTGAGGGGACGCCGTCATCAAAAGACCCCAAATTCGCCTCTTCGCTCTCCACCTCTCCATCCAACTTCTCCATTCGACCTGCGTCTCTAACTGGTATCAGCAGACAGTAAAAAGCAGTTAAGAAAGTAGATGTGGATGGCGTCTGTTTTTTTTTTGTGTCCTTTTTATTTATTTGTATATTCTTTGTGCGAATACAGAAAAAAAAAACGCTCCAACTTAAGAAGTTACAGACAAAACCAGCTCACTGATAGATTCTTCAACCATTTGGTATAAAATCTGACCTCTTTCACTTTCTTCTATATCCTTTAGGCTAATTGCTAAAACTGGTTTAAATGAAGTCCATTTTTAACTGATGTCATATAAAATTCATACATAAAATATAATCCAGTTATTCAAATTGTTTTATTAAAGAATTATTTTGTTACATTTTAAAGTACACCAAAAATCCCTATTTATGAATTTTAAAGATTAATGTAGAATTAGACACGATCACAATTATCATTTTCTATAATTTTAAATTTAAGTACTTTATAAACTAATATTGTACAACTTTTAATTATGTTACACTCACTGTCATCATTAAATATTTTTGAATGGGGTAATTTAAAATATTTCCAGTTTTCCATCTGATTGAGACCAAATTTAAGATTTGTGTAAAAGAATATTATAATATTTTTTCTTCCATAATTTTCAAGTTATAAAATCTGTTATGTTCCATATGTTACTTAAGAAAAATAAAACCATCTTTATGTTATTATAATTATTTTTTAATATTCTTTTATTTTGTGTAATTAGTTGGATCGTTATTAGAATATTAAACCTAAATAATATCATAATTTGTTTTATTTATAAGGATAGCTGATTAATTATCATGATCCACACAGTAATGTTTTGATAATTTTAGTTATTACTCATTTCATTTTATATTATTATTGATCTGTATTATTGTTATTATTGTTAATTATTGTCATTTTTAAGCACCAAGGTCAAATATTCTGTTTAATTTTGAGTAATTCAGACTGCCTGTGTTTGAACAAGATTTACAGTCTGCTGACGGCAGATAATCAGGACGTGTAATCCGTTGGTTTTGAACAGTTCACTTGTAAGCCTGTCTCTCTCAGAGCTTGAGGCTAAAAAAAGGCTTTTGATGATGTAATGAGGTGCCGATCTGTCAGAGGCGAATAATGAGAAAGGGTGGGAGAGAGTGAAAACACTTGAGGTGATTCTGAGCTCCACAGCTGCTTAATTCAGCAGTGAAATGAAGAAAATGAAGAGGCTCAGTGTGACTCTCTCCACAGGGGACTGATTAGAGACACGAGTCCAAGAGATTTACTCAAACGAAAGGTCTTATTTTGAAGTAGCGGATCTTTTTTGGTCACACTGAGGCTCTTCACAGGATAGTGGCCGTGGTTTGAGCGATTTATCCTCAGAGACTGAGATTCTTCTTCTCCTGTAGGCAAACTTGAAGTCAGACTTCTGGGATGTGAGGATTTACTGCAACCAAAGTTGGACTTGGAGCAGGAACATCCTTTGGTTACCTCTGAAAACGGTTCAGCTGTTCCTCACGAGCCTGATGGATCCCCAAGTGAGTAAACATTTTACATGTATAGATTTTCAGTTTGCAGAGTTTTAGAACTTTATCTGTTTCTATTTTTTGAGAAGCATCCACTAACCTTAGACTTAGACTAACTATTGTAATTTCATTGCACACACCTTTCAACAAAGGGCTGCAGTGATCAAGAATGTGGACAGTGTAGAAGAAAAGGAAACCAGTTTAAGGTCATGGGACAAAAGGGCATTAATATGGAAAGGTTCAGTGCAGTGCAAAATAAATATGGTTCAAAATGCAGTTGAACATTGATTTGTGTTCTGTTTAAAAGGATTATAAAAGTTTAGCCACATTGGTGGTGCAAAATAATGTTGCAGGTGTAATGCAGAGTCCAGTTTAGAGTTCCAACAGTTCTACAGTCTTATGGCAGCGGGTAAATAGCTGTTTCAGAATCTGCTGGACCTGCATCGGATGCTTCGAAGTCTCTTCCCAGAGGGCAGCAGGGAGAACTGTCCATGTTGGGGGTGTGAGGGGTCATTGATGAGTTTACAGGCCTGGGACACGCAGCACTGGGGTTAAATGTCTTTAATGGAGGGTAGAGGGTAGAGGGTAGAGCCCCCATGATCCTCTCTGCTGTTCTCACCACTCTTCTCACCTTCTTCCAGTCTGAGGCGCTGCAGCCTCCACACCACACAGTGAGACAGCTGGTCAGAACGCTCTCTATGGTGGTTCTGTAGAAGGTGGCAGGAAGTATAAGCGCTTTTGTGCCCTTTTGACCAGTGAGGTGGTGTTTACATTCCAGGTGAGGTAGTCTGTGATGTGCACCCCCAGGAATTTGGTGCTATTGACCACCTCTACAGCTGAGCTGTTGATGACCATCGGAGCGTGATTAGGACGGTTCTTCCTGAAGTCCAAGATGATCTCCTTCGTCTTCTCCAAGTTCAGTATCAGGCTGTAATCTTTGCACCAGTCCACCAGCTGCTTCACCTCCTCTCTTTAGTCCTGGTCATCGTCTTTGATGAGGCTCACCACTGTAGTGTCATCTGCAAACTTCACGATGTGATTGGTGGTGAACCTGGGGATGCAGTCACCAGGTTTACTGCCTCTCCTGAATATTTAAATTATGTGATTTGATCAACAAAACCCTATAGCAAAAATGTTCAAGATAGAAAAACATATACAGAGCTGCAATATGGAAATTGTTGCTACTTTAATTGCTATTTAGTATAGATTAATAGTGAAACCAAAAAACAAACAAACTAAAAAGCAAGATGTGCAAACCCTCTAAATACAATAAGAAAATGTTTTCTTTTAAAATGTGTGATCCAATTAAAAGCTGTTATAGAGATGGATAACTTTAATTACAGTAAAGAAAACTCAACCAAAGGCATCTTCCCTTTAATTTAAATCATGTTAAAAACGTTACAGCATTCCACTCCAAAACTGGCAATAATTAGAAGCATGAACTTGAAGACAGCAGCGACAAAAGTATGGTCAGCCAAAGGTGTTTGCCTTCCAACTTCCGGAGGATTTAATTATTTTTGGTTAAATTTCGCTGAATCAGCACCAGACAGTGTGTTAGATGATTGGTTTTGTATTGAGTTGGTATTTTTACAGTAGAACAACTTCTTCGCATCTGTAACGCTTTCATTTTAAACAAATGTACATTTATTGTACTTGAAGTCTTACTAAAGTAATAGTTCTTCGAACTAATTTGGGACATTTTTAAGTTTACTAAAGTATACTTAAAGTATACTTTGTTAAACAAGTACAAGTACACTTGACTATACTATTGTTAAGTATATGAAATATAGTTTAGAATAAGTAAACTCTAAGTTTTCTGCCTGATTTTAAGTATAAAATTAGTGCACTTTTAGTATACTTGAATAAACTACTTTTTGCTAAGGGAAGGTTTTAAATTGAAGTGAAGTTACTGGGAGAGCAGCTGTTGCACACATCCTGCAGCCTGTTCATCAGAAATGTTGGCTTAATATTAGCCTGCAATGTATTCATTATCATTATTTTGCTGTTTAGCGTTACCAGACATGAACTACTATATGTCCTCTTACATCCCTAGTATAATTAAAGCAATTTATCCCCATCAGTCATAATTAAGATATATATGTGTTGAATATTTTGACCACAAATTAAATAAGCAGGCGTTATATGAGTTAGAAAACAGGCAGTTTGGGATGTTTCTTTTGCATCACTAAAACCCCTCATCTAGATATTTCCAGTTGTCTGAAGATATAATTGACACAGATTGTAGAGTAGGGAATGTTTATAAAGGTTTATGTATTGGGGTCAGTGTTTATGTTGAATAGGCTGCTGGGAGCTCCTTTCAGAAGGAATCTGAGTGGAAACAATAGATTATAAACCTAAAGTCATCATTAGGTCTGAAAGTCAGCCAGGCTCTTGTTTATGGTTAAGTTTTACTGTGCAGCTTGGAGAGAAGCTGCTTTAGTTAAAACTGAAAAAAGTGAACTAAGTTTTCTGTTATCATCAAGGTTTAGAGTGAAGAGTGTTTGCAGAGAGTGGTGGTAAACGGTTGCTGTCTGTCTCACAGCAGAGGTCAGTGCAGTTCTTCGGCTAGACGGCAGACTGATCGGCCGGACGCCCTGGGCGGCAGTCAGCAGGCTCAGCTGGGATCAGGTTTTCTATGTCCAGCTTGAGCGGGTAAGTCATCAGAGTTTAAAATACTCTTATATATTTATGCTTTTTAAAATACTTTAAATAGCATAAATTCACAGAGAAGAGCTGTTTTCTTGTTTCCCTTTTCCTGACTTCCTTAAAACAAAAGAATCCTTACTTTAATGCAATGTCTGCCCTTTTTTCTTTTTCTAAAGAGTAGATAAGAGAAATAAGACGCCATGCTAAACCTTAGCCATGGATGCTAAAATATGGAGTATGATGTATTTAACTGTATTTAAGTAATTAATAAATTAACTTTAGACAAAAAAAACGAATTTGAAGAATTTTTTTTTTTTTTACATTTTTTTTGCCCTGTTTGAATCTTGATCCTATCTGACATAGACATGGATCAAGATTAATGCAATGCATTTTAATTTTATTTTATCGTGATGCAAACTTATCCTTCTCATCATTTCTGTTTAATCTGATGCTGATGAAAATGAGGTCTATGTTGAAAAATATAAAATTAACAAAAGAACAAGCTATGAAGGTAAAAAAGAGCAGGATTGGGATTTTATAAAGCCCCTAATAGCCCACGGAGTTCATATAAACAGACTGCAGGTAGCGTTTTATAGCAGCAGGTGGCAGGATTTTACCATTTCTATGGATTAAGTACTTTCTGATATGTAACTGCTGCGATGGACTGGCAACCTGTCCAGGGTGTACCCCGCCCCTCGCCAGTAGACAGCTGGAGATAGGCACCAGCACCCCTCAAAACCCCAATTGGGATTAAGCGTGTCAGATAATGGATGGATGGATTATATGTAACTGAACTTGTTTGTGAAATTATAGAAAAAAGTTTATCCAAACACAAGATGCGTCTTCATACAAACTATTTCAATGACATAACATTTGCGGCTTGTAAATACACAGTTCTTATATTTCAATCTCACCAGAAAAGAACATTGCAAGTTTTGATGGTTGTATTTCTTCAGAAATGACCAAAATAATGCAAAGATAAAAAGGACTATTTCTTTATTTCAGTGAGTTCAGGTCTCTGGGTAACCAAACTAATTTGAAAGTGTCATGCCTTTTATTACAAATAAACTTAATAGAAACATAGACCTACAAAAGCTCTCAGAACCACTACCCACAGAGAAAACATGCTGGGACATGGATAGTTTTAACTTCAATTTGTTAAAAAAATCACTTTTTAGAAGTAAGAAATGTATAGACTCTATCGTCAGCATTACTCTCGTACCATGGGTTTTAATTAATTAATTAATAGTTGGTGGTATGGTATTGGTATTAAAGTTGCCAAATTTGCACATGGAGGAATAGGAATTAGAGCCTAACCTATTCCAGTCCAGAGTGAGAAAATATATGACGTTTCCTCAAAGTAATATTAGAGGTCATCTGTTATTTTATTACAGAGCCTTTTTGTTCCCATCCATCCATCCATCCATTTTCCGTCACGCTTGATCCCAGCTGGGGTCGTGAGGGGCGCTGGTGCCTATCTCCAGCTGTCTACCGGTGAGAGGCAGGGTACACCCTGGACAGGTCGCCAGTCCATCACAGTGCAACACAGAGACAAACATTGACATTCACGCACGCTCACACCTAAGGAACATTTAGTGAAGCCATTTAACCTAACAGGCATGGTTTTGGACTATGGGAGGAAGCCGGAGTACCTGGAGAGAACCCATGCATGCACTGGGAAGAACATGCAAACTCCATGCAGAAAGACCCGGGGCCAGGAATCGAACCCAGAACCATCTGCCCTAGAACCACTGAGCAGCCCCCTTTCTGTCCCTAAATATGCTTTACTCTAAATAACGGTTGAAATTCACCTTTACTTCTGGATAAATATAGCTGAGAAAAAAACAGCACAATATTAGAAGTTAATCCACCTTTTATGTAATAATTTTAGCCAAACTTGCATCAATTGCACTGGGCCAATCACATAACCCTGTGGTACAACTAGAGAGTTATGATCTAAAAAACACAGCCAAATGTTTGGGAGTGAAAACTGTGAGCAAATTCAGTTCTGAAATCTGACCAAATAAATATGGATCCAAGGCAATTAGCAAAAAACAAAATGAACGTCTTTCAACTACTCAGCATTTGATTTTCCATAATTTGAGAATTATTGTGTGTAACTTAGAAGAAAAAACAAAGGAATGAACCGTTTAACAAGCCTATTCTTATTACCTCAGCTTTTACAAGGCAGCCTAACAGTCCTTCATATCCGCCTGCAGTGCTAATGGCTTTAACATACTTACAGGTGCATTTGCACAGCTGAACAGATATGGAGTTAAAGATCTTGGAAAATGGAAAGCATTCAGGGTTTGTTTCCGGCTCGTTTTATCCACACTCCTCCCATACTATACTGTTTTAATGAATGATTCACTCGGTTAACATACCAGCAGAGGTTTTTAAATAAACAGAGGAATGTTATGCAGTGTCTCCTGTTACAGACTAAAAATAACTCAGGCTGCCTCTTTGATCTATCACAGTTTTTACTTTCTATCAGAGGAACATTGTCATATCTGGGACACCCTCTGAAAAAAGTTACCTCACCAGTTGTAAGTTGGCGCCTTTTCGATGGCAAATGTCAAAAATGCCAACAGTGATTTCATAAATGCTGAACACTTTTAGCATGTATTGCTGATACTAATTATTTCAGCATGTCTTGGTGATGTAGAGAATAAGGGCATGATGCAGCACCAGCATCATCCACAAAACAGGACAGGGCCAACTTGCAAAGTCTAACCAGGACTTAAACAGATCAAAGGTAGATGAGATCTCTTCAGATCCCACACATCCTGGACACAGGCTATTAGATTTTTACCTTCAGCTGTTTGCAAGGACCAGCCATAAAGAGCTACTTTCCCTCACGAGGATATATCTCAGTAGCTCAGCTTGAAACTTTATGCTTATTTACTTCTTTATTCATCACCGAGGTTTAAAGGCGTGTGACAAAACTTGTGACAAATGTGAGTCTGATATGAAAACAGGATCATAATAGCAGGCTTTATAAGAGAAAAGCAAAAACATAAAAGATGTTTTATGGAATCCTAATTATTTCTGTCCAGTTTATGGTTATAACCACAAAAGCTGTGGAGCTTCTTTAGGGCACACCCTACAGAAGAAGCTAATATTAACTGTATTTGTCCAGGTTTTGGTCTTTAATCCCCATTTGTTTATTATTAATATACTTGAATCCATTTATTTAAGCTACTAGAAGGACATTTCCCACATTTTTCCAGTGGATAACCATGAATTTCTTCCTCTGGAGGAGGTCAAAGTATAGCTGCTTCTTCTCCCCATAAAAAGGTGTTGATTGCTCAGGAGGGGTTGGGATCAGTTTTCCAGACACATCACGCTGGGATTAAAACTAAAGTAGACACAGAAATAAATGGAGGGAAAGTCTTCACAATCCCAACAAACAGCACCAGTCTAACAAACTGATGCGTTAGATGCAATGAACTGTAGCTCCTGGAGCAATTACAGAACTGCTCCATTTGATTTACTCTCAGAAATGAACTTAGTACTGCCCAATAAGTATTTATATTCAGCATTCACTAAACCCTTACTGCATTTAAACAGAAATTTAAGAAAAGGGTGCCTACCTGGCCCCTGGGGTTCTGGGCTTCAATGTTTCACTAAATGTCCCTGATACATTGTAAACCAGCAGGGGGAGCTACTGTACAGCTTTTCTTTCTGGGTGCTAAATTGTTGCAATTATATTCAAGACCAGCAGGTGTCAGTCTTACACCTGCAGCTTTCTGGTAGTTATGTCAGCAAAATAAGCAGATCTGGGGTTCTGAGAATATAATAATAATAACAATAATTAAAATTTATTGATCTCACATTAGAGAAATTTACCTCTGCATTTAATGGATCCCCTTTAGGAGCAGTGGTCTGCCATTGTGGGGCGTTTGAGGGCCTTTTGCTCAGGGAGCCAGAGAGGCTGTCTGTGGGAGTGGGGCTGGAACTCAGAACCTCAGGATTCCAAGCTCTATGCCCTAACCACTAGGCCACCACTCCCCAATATGCATAAAGGTTCAGTTTTAGCCTCATAAGATCTAAAAATATGTTTTTAGAGTTGTATAAAAGCGTCATGTCTTAATCAGTCTTGCAGATATTCATGTCCTCCTTACAAACCCTTGGTTATTCAGGTAATCTTTGTGCATCTGTTGAAAATCTGCTTTTAGTCTCGAGAGCTGGAGGTTTGCGTGTTCTGGCGGCACCAGAGGGCCATGTGCGCAGTCAAGCTCCTGCGACTGGAGGAGGTGATGGAGAACCCAAATCACAACCTGGGCTTCAGTCTGGAGCCACAGGGCCTCCTTCACATCCAGGTATAAGATCTCAACAGACAAGAACCTGATGTTGACCTCGAGATGAAACGAATATGAATGACATGTCTGCTTCCTCTGGATGACAGTTTCAGTTCATCAACACTTTGGTGGAGCGGCAGCCAAAGCTCAGACGTCAGCGATGCATTTTCACTAAAGAGAGAGGTAGCAGAAACAAACTGACAGATCTAATGTGACTTCTCTGTCATTTTTGTATCATTAGTGGTTGTTTTTTTTTCATGTCCTCCAGGAAAGAATTTCCTCCGAGCTGCTCAGATGAACATGAACTTTGCAACATGGGGTCATCTGATGATGAGCATCCTTCCTCATTATAGCTCCTTCACCACCTTCAGTTCTCATCTCTCCACAACATCTGACCTGATTGGAAACAACACGCCGCATCCGAAGGAAAATAAGCCCGAACCAACAGCTTCGCTGCCAAGGTTGGAAGCTGCAGCATTGTCAAAAATTTCACTCATCACCCTTTGATCATCTCACAGATTAACAGATTATCATGTCATATTTCAAAGTCATCTTGATCCTTTTAAAACATTTTTGCAAGTTTGGCTGCATTTCATAAAGAAATCACCATCAGCAGTTTTCTCTCACTGTAAACATTGAAAATGGTGAAGACCTGCAAGAAGCAAATGGTCTTATTGGTTCATGAGAAAGAGAGGAAGGCCTCAAAGAAAGAAAAAAATACTAGTATTTTTAGTAGATATTTTCATGCAATGCAATAGGGTATCATGGTCTTGTGTATGCACAGTCATTTAGAAGGGGATTAGGGTTTTTTTTATCTATATTTCTGGAAGAAATAAATCCACAATCCCATTATCAGTTATGATTATGATTAATTAATATTATATATACATTATACACGCATTAAATTGGCTTAGTGATTTAACTTTTTTTAGCCTTCTCTCGCATAGAACGCAAAAACTAGCTCTAAAAAGAGCTTTAATTGTGTCAAATTAGTCAATTAGGACGTTCCACCTGAGAGTATCACTGATGCCACCCTCTGTTATAGAAGGGAACTGCTTGTTCCACAGGTAGAGAGTTATGTATACATGGGAACAATAAATCTTCAGGTTTGGTGGATGTTGTTGTGGACCCAAAAGCAGAGTAGAAGGAGGCAGAGATGAATTCTTGCAGGTTTAATGAAATAAAGCAGGCAACAGAATCAAAAATCCAAGGACAATTACAGGAAAACATAAAACAGGAGACGTCAGAGGAAACCATACACATGGAGCATAGCAACAACGAGAAACCAGCACAATACACAGGAAGAGTGTATATGGGAGACTCAACAAATACTGGGGTGATCAGCTGATAGGGAGCAGGTGTGGATAGAAGTAACTAGAAGATAGGGGAAAGTAGACTGGCACAAAGGGGTAACAGAGAGCAACACAAGAAATACAACACTGCTCACGTATAACTAGAAAACAACTACAATGACACAAAATGAAAAAAAAAAACAATTTCCAAGAAACATAGAATGACATAAATAAAAATATAAATAAAAACTCAAAAAAAGGGCAGGTTCATGAAAAAAATCACCTGGTAGGGATGGCCACAGCGGTGGCTAATGATGGGTAAAGGCCACCCTTCGCCACCCATCTAGCTCTGCCCCTGACAGGGGCGTGCATACATAGACTCTGGGTGGTGCTAAAGCACTAGGAAGTTTTCCCTTTATCAAAGAAAATGCCCTTTTGAAACTCGTTTTTTTTATTATTATTATTAATATTAATAAGATTTTACTGAGGTCGGTTTTGAAATTATCTTTTGAAAACCTGAGCCACTAAAAACAACTGAAACAATGCCCCGAAATGAGCCACCTCCTTACGCACAAACGACCCTCTCTCTCTCTCTTCCTTTGTCACGTGACCTCACGCGGTCGCCCGCAGGGCATGCCAGATGCGCAGCATCATAGCAGTTCAGTAGCGTCTTCAGATAGCAGGAACCGCCGCTGACAGGCTGCTTCTCCCGTGCCCCATTAGCCAGGTAATATACAGATCAAGCAAAATCATTTTGTTGTGCATTAAAATGTCTCACTCAGCAGCTCCAAACAAGCATTTTGCCGACTGGTCACCTGATAAACTAGTCGTCTCCTTGTAAGATGCTATTTTACTTTTTATATTTTATATCCATATTTTTATCTTAAGTATATATATTAGTCTATTTTATTGCATGACGTATACCCACAGTTTTTAGATATTTTTATAATTTTATTTACCTATTCCATATTATGTTTCATGTTGCACGATTGTACCACAAAAAATTCCTAGTTTGTGAACGCTTCACTAACAATGGCAATAAACCCGATTCTGAAAGTTTTACACTGTAGCCCAAGTCAATGACAGATAACGTGAGGACGACCACATAGGCTACAAATAATTTCGGTAGAGTTTGCAATTGCAAATACGGAAGAGGATTAGGGCCACTGAAAAAAAAAAAAAAAGTTAACTGATTTTTAAATTTTATTTCAGTTTAGTATGGGAAAAAAGTCAGAATTCTGACTTTAATCTCAGAATTCTGTTGTATAGGTTTTGTTAGGCAACATAAATTAACACATTTTGGTCTCTTTACTGTCTTAATTGTATATTGATTTAGTAATTGCAGCACAATGCCAAGAAAGGAGGGTTAATCGTATTGAAAAATATTAAAAGCTGTTCACATTTTATTTTTAAGTGGTTTGTGAAGCAGGTATTAAAATAGCTATTATTTTGTAGGCTACCATAAGTCATATCCAAGTGACAAGACTTCCAGTCATGTTGCCCTAATAGGCCATTATTTAAACTAATGTGGCATAATTGTTAAAGCTATTATTATTATTATTGTCATGATGGTTATTATTATTATATTGTAGCCAGTCACAGCAGGGAAGCTCTATACCATCAACATCTACCAGGACAGGAGATGAGGAAGAGTTCAGAGAAGACACAGAGACAGAAAAAGACCAGGATGAGGGAGAGCAGATGGATGAGGGAAAACGGGGAGATGAGCCAGATGAAAGAAAAAGAAAGATGAGCTTTAGTCTGTTCTGTTGGTGGTGTGACTTTTTTCCATTGAAAACTGACGTTTAGAGAATGTTACAAATAAAAGTAAAATTTCATTCAACATGCGTGTATTTTTTTTTATAATTAAGTGTTCCACGTGCGCTAAAAAGTGCCCCCCCCCCCCCCCCCCCCCCCCCCCTCCTGAGCACCTGCCCTCCAAAATGTCTGTGCACGCCTCTGGCCCCTGATCCTAATTTAGCTCTCTAACAAAATGTTACTGAAAAATATTAAACACATGAAAAAAAAATCTACTTTGCTCCGAATAAGTAATCATCATATTACAGATTTTGGCTGAATTTCCTTTTGTATTAGGTTGAATTAATTTATATTATAAAAGTACACACCTAACCTTACCAAGATGAAAAAAATCTATAGAAATACAAAATCTTTTTTTTAGATGATTATGTTTTATAGGGTAAAAAATAACCAACTTTGCCCTGAGGGTAAATATGAACAGTGATTTACCTCATTTTTTGGCTTTTTTTTTGTGGTAATTCAATACCAACACCCAGGTCTGATTACTTCCAGATCGTAAAATAAATTTGAAAAATCCCATAAACACAATCTGTCTGACAACAATCTCTTAAAGTATCACATCATGCATTATAGAAAGTCTCAATAGAAATTCACGAATAGATAAGAAACAAGATAACGACATAAATTATTCTCAATAAAGTTACAACGAAAAATGGATGCCAGGGAGAGAAGTGATCCAGAAACAGAGAAAACATGGAACAGTAAGTGGCTGTTGCCTCAGAACATGGGTGACTTGTATTCATTGGAACCATCTGAAGGAGAACGTCTGCTAATCATGTTGGAGACCTTAAGCTCAAACACGTTTGGATGATTCAGGACAATGACCTAAAACAAACTCGCAAATCCACCAATAAATGGGTTACCGTATTTAAAATCTAGGATTATACCTGATTTATTCATCCTGCTTGTCTGACTGGGATTGCTGCAGATAGTCCATGTGCATTGCTCAAAGTTTCTGGAATACAGCACTACTTTAAAACACGTGAACTCTGAACACCAGCCGGATAGTTGAAAGTTGAATGTAGCTTGAAGTTCCAACAGCTGCAATGAATGCATGTAAACTTCTGAGTGGAATTGTATTTTCTGTATAAATCAGAAGTTTTTGCTTTATGTGTTTATTCAGAGAAACTCCGTTAATCAGACTGACCGTCTCAGAGGACCAGTCGCCTTCCATCAGCATTGAGCAGAAAGAAAACACTCCCAGCCTCATCACCACAGAGGAAAAGACATCATCGGTGCCTGCACTGCAAGAAAAACTGGTATATAAAACGTTTGTTTGATTCTGTTTAACAGGATTCTGTAACTTTCTCACAGTATTTTTTTAATCACATAAGAGAAAACTACTTCGAAGTTCATCAATTTAATGACCCGACAATCAACTTACGTTTTTTAAAGAAAACAGTGCCTTTTTTTTTAAATGCTTCCTTTTCCACATAAGAACATGAACAGTGGCATCCCCCAGGGCTGCGTTTTCTCCCCACCTCTGTTTCCCCTCAACACAAATGATAAAACGCCTCAGCCGACTCACGTGTGAAACTTTAAATATTTGTAGATGATACCTGACAGGCTGGTCCACCAATGCAGTCAGAACCATCTGGAAGTTCACCTGTTTAAGACTGTGGAGTCTGTAGATTGCAAAAAAAATGGTCCAAAAATAGAATGATCAGGGCTGCATGGCTTGATTATACGGTCAGGAGTATCCATATTGATAATGTTTGTATAAGTTCAACACTGTTTTTTTAAAGTATTGTACATAAACAAAAAAACGCTCTTCCAACCAATGTTATATGTACTTTAAAATGCATTTTATATAAAGAACAAAGTGGGGTGAAAATCTCAGTCCTTGTTGGTGTGCATTAAAGTGACCAATAAAGCTTATTCGTATGTTTTTAAAATCCTGGTGCAAAACATGACAAACCTAGAGTGTTAAAAATTATTTCATGTTTGCTGAATTTGACAAGAGGAACTTAAAGTAAGAAAACATTTTTTTATCTTCTCAGCATTAAGAAAGGCCACCTGTTGATCGTTATAGATCTTCTTTATTAAACAGATTATTTTTACAAGTAGAAGATTAAATATTAATCAGCTTTATTTCTTTTTTATTTGTTGGTTTGTATAAGTTTTGTTTTTCTGTTCCAGATTTCCATACGCCGTCCATCCAGTCCAAACACTGCAGAGGATTGTGAGGATCAGCTTGTTTCTGCCCTGAAGTAAACTCAGTCACATGTAGCAGACATTACATGCAGATGTCGCCTTATAAAGCATCAATATATGAGACATGTCCTTCTCTGTCCACATGGCCCTTTCTCTAAAGGATGAAGGTTGAAGATTTTAGATATACCTCAGTTCTGGGTCGTGGACACTTTGGAAAGGTAACAGGGCCTCCTGTTTCCTCTGAGTTCAGTGAAACCTCCTTTCCAGATGTTTCCTTAGGTGGTTTGTTTTTTTCTTCAACAGGTGCTACTGGCTGAGTTCAAGAAGACAGGAAGACTGTACGCCATTAAAGCCTTGAAGAAAAGAGACATTGTGACTCGTGATGAAGTGGACAGGTGAGTGAAGCTTATTAACTAATACTTTTCGGGAGAAGTAACCGTTAAGTATAAATAGTTATTTTTTTATAAGTTTCACAGCACTACCCTTCCCCCAGAGATCAGGTTATGGATCCAACTACTTAAACTCAGAGCCTTAGAACTTGCCTTCATCAACCACCTCCTGCAGCTCATCTATAGCTAATCCAGAGCATTCCCAGAAGTTAGGCAGATAGAAGTTCTGGATCTGCTTAAATAAAACCAAACTTATATTAGGACTTCTTCACATATATTTGTCCAATTGATTTTGTTCTTATTTGTTAATAAAACAGGAATGCTTAAAGTATTGCTATTCCAGTAAATGTGTTAGAACAGCATGAACTACAGGAAGAAAAAGTAATTTAAATGGTTTTCCATTGTTAAACATGGCTTGGCAAATGGATTTCCCCTTTAGCTCCTTTAACTAAGTTCATTTATTTAGAAAAGGTTCTTCTCTTCACTATTTCAGTTTTGGTAACCGGGTAATACGGTATGCTTTTTTCCAAGTATAAAAATGAGCTTTTTGCCACTTGTTGATTTGTACAGACAGTGTGAATCTGTAGCTACCTTGGGAGTTTTAACACTTTGACAAGATTTGAGCGTTAATCTTTTAAAAGTGTCTTATAGCTAAATAATCAGATTCCAGGTCCTTCATATTTCTTAAAATTCAATTGACTCAATTTGGATTTTAAGGATCCCCTCCTAATGTCCAAATCATCTCCTTAAAAAGTATTCCCTAAAACACCACTGGTTCTTTTTAATGTAATTTAATGTTTAATGTAATGAGAAAAAAAACAACAACCATATCATGAGTTCCTATGGAAAAGTAGGCCTCTGAGGCTCTGTGGAGTTTTTCTGTCGCTGTCCCAATAAGACAAAGGCCTGAAGATAAAACCAGAAGACATGAGGAGGAATGTTAATCACTTCTGGTTTGGGAACACCTTTAATTTTCCATCATAAGAAGCTAGAAATTGAAAAATAAATGGATGAATAAATAGATGATCAGCTGTTTATAGTCAATTATAACCAAATATGATTAAATATTTAGTATAAATAGCTCTATAACCTCAGACATGATCTCTAAGATCGTTCCTACAGTCACCATTTCACTCTTGAAATGTATTAAACAACCATATATACTATATTTACAACATAAAAAATTATATAAATTATAGCCAATTCTTAAACTGGGGAAACAATCATTATGCTAAGCAAAACTGTAACTTTTACAGTTCAATACCTGCCAGAAATGGATTTAGCTTAAAACACTGCCCTGACTGTAGCTCAGGTATTTGTGTTTTAATGAGCTTGAACTAATCTTGCAGCCTTATGAGCGAGAAGAGGATCTTTGAGATGATCAACGCCTCCAGGCACCCATTCCTGGTCCACCTTCACGGCTGCTTCCAGACATCTGACCATGGTTGTTTCGTCATGGAGTATTTACCAGGCGGCGACCTGATGATCCACATCCACAGTGATGTCTTCTCAGAAGCACAGACCCGGTTTGCACAAAATCTTCCTGTCTTTAGCCTGAAGACTCTTGTCCTGTTTTTGTGTATTTTTGCTATTTCAGTTTTTTTTCTGTACTTGAACAAACCGTTGTTTCACAGGTTTTATTCAGCATGTGTCCTGCTTGGTTTGGAGTTCCTGCATTTGAATAAAATCATCTACAGGTATGTTACCCCAGTCAAACGTGAAGTCACATCATCTAAAACATGGGGTTGTTTTTAACGTTTATACTTCGGTTATGCAGAGATCTGAAGCTGGACAACATACTGATGGATGCAGAGGGATTTGTGAAAATAACAGACTTTGGACTTTGTAAAGAAGGTAAATATCTATACCTTGAATTTGTTTGTTTTTGGTGCATTTTCTTAGGGAATCTTATATTTGTTTATTGTTAAAAAAGATCCCAATTAGCTGTCACCAAAAATGGGATGAGCTAGTCTTCCTGGGGTCCACAAGACAAAACAAAAATCAACAATTAAACATTGTAGACATTATTGTCATCAGAAATAATTCAGAATAAGTTATTACATTCATATCTATTACATTAATTCTCACTTTCATACAGTAAATATATTAATTCACTGCTGACAAATTTATATAGTGCATACTTATGTAATAATTAAAACATACTTTACTATCCAGGTCATGTATATTAAGTGGGCAATTATTCCAATAACTGATGGCTCGATAAATAACTGTTCTCTTTAAGGCATTTGATTTTGGCCATGGTAACATCATCTGACTTGAGGATGAGGTTCTTAAATGATCACAGTTTATTTTCTCCTTATTTTCACTGAAAATGTAAGAAGGAACCTATCCTCTCTGGACTAGTAGGACATCTAAATGATATCCCTGCAGGGATGGGCCACGGAGATCAGACCTCCACTTTCTGTGGGACTCCAGAGTTTCTTGCCCCTGAAGTCTTGACAGACGACACCTACAGCCGAGCTGTGGACTGGTGGGGGATGGGTGTCCTCATTTATGAGATGCTTGTCGGAGAGGTTGGTGGGATATGCTCAGTACTCCAGGCTACTCTCTCTGTTGCTTTCTGATATATATTTTTTAAACTGGGAAAAATCAAAAATACATTTTGACAATTTAATTCTTTGTAACATGTATAGTTTGCCTGACGTAGCTTTGCTCTGCCTTCCTGCTAGTCTCCCTTTCCTGGTGAAGATGAAGAGGAGGTATTTGACAGCATCGTAAATGATGATGTGCAGTATCCAACATCTCTTCCCGCTGATGCCGTCTCCATCATGCAGAAGGTAACCGCAGATTGTATTTGGTCAGGAAGAGACACAAGACAGTTTCAGTTAAATGCTACTGAAAATTCAACAGAAGCGATTTCAGTTTTTCAGGCCTGAGATAGTAAAACACTTAGAGGATCCTCTGAATACCCAACCATCCCATGAGTTTGAAAATGTTTTGCTCAGAAAAGGAGAAGAATGGTTCAGAGAAAGTTTGGGAACTTTTTAACTAATTATGATATAAATTAGCTTAAATCAGGGGAGAGTAAAATCAGCTTTACCATTTTTTGATTTCCAGAAAACACCCAAAAAATAAAACTCTCTTTGCCTTTTAAGCAGATGGCACCCAGTTCCGTCTCCACCTAACCTTTAGTCAATAAAACTAAATAAGGATAATAACTAATCCTGGTTTCCTCCTTCATGCACCCCCAGTGTGTCACTGATTATTGACAATTTGAGATTCTCTACCCTTTTATTGTACTTTTTGCTGACCTCTACTCATCTGTAACAACACCCACTTTATCCATGACTTGAAGCTAGGATAAAAAATATTCAGTAATAACTTTAAAAAAGTCAGTCTTGTGTAATTCCTTCTAGATAAACTTATGCAAAATACTTTTACTGTGTTAGAAGCTGTGCTGCCGGTTATCTCAGTTCTAAACTTCCTGGTGTTAAACAGTTCAGAGAATATTGGGCCAAGGTAAACTCTGCTGTCTGAGAGATTGACAAATATTGAATCAAAAAATTTTGTTATTTTTATACATATGCATTCAATTTGAAGCAATTATGCATCTAGTCCAATCAAGTAAAGAAATTGCATCATCCGATACTGAAAAATCCCAATTGTTGATAATAGCAATAGGAAAAAAAAAAAAGTCAGGGAAACCAAGATGGCTGAAACGGGGAAAAAGACCCAAAACCTCCGCCATTTCTGTTTCTACATGGGGGTAGAGGAACCACCATTCTAACAGAATACGATATTACTACTGTAAAACTAAACTACAACTACATCTATGAAATAACTTTGTTGGTATATAGATTTTATTTTTACTGTATAAAATGCATAAAAGTACACTTAAGTGGAGAGATTAATATTTTTTTATAGAATAAAGTTAGAAAAACACTTTTTTTCCCAAACCTCGTTTTACATTCCTAAGGATGTATAAAAGCACATTATCATAATTCATGCATGAGACGATTAAAAAAACATAAAAATTGTATTGTTTAATTTAATTTAAAAAACAAAAGAAATTGGAGGGTAAAAGCTTTATTTCCTTTCTGTGTTTCTAAAACATCCATTCTTATATTGATCATTTAATATCTAACTACTATCAAATACACAGCAGTTTATCTCTTCTATGCATCCATTTTGACCTCAAAAAGAGTCTTATTTAATCATTTGTAAAGTTTACCAATGAGTATTTATGAGTGCTGTTGTCTAAACCATTTATCCAGGCATTGGCTAAATTATACTGATTATACTACTTTATTAAATAAAATTAAAAAAACATAAAATCGAGTCTCTAGTCAGCTTTGTTCTTTGCACATTTTATTTTTTTTTAAATGATTTGACCAAATAATTTCATAAACTGCATAATATTCTTAGTTTTCTGCCAACCAAAGTAAAAGAAAATACTAAATGTGCCAAATTACTACAGAAGTGGGATTGCTGTGTAGCCTTACACCACTAGTTCAGACCCTTCATCCGTGCAACCCCAACTAGATCCACCTGCATTCCACCAACAGGAGCTTCCTGGTGCTTTTATTAGAATAAATGTGTATCAACTGAATTAAGAATAACTCAAAGGAACCTTTCTGTGTTTCTAGCTGTTGAAGAAGAACCCTCTGAAAAGGCTGGGAGCTGGAGAGAGAGACGCAAACGAGGTTAAAGGAGATAAATTCTTCGAGGTAAATCACATCACTTTATTTCCCTGGACATCAATGAAGGTGAATAAAAGCTCACCCATGAAACTTTAAAACGCTGAGAAGACATGTTAAATGGTCTTAATGGAAAAGCTGTATATCTTAAATCCCAGATCTGACAGCAACACTAACCTGAGAACTTCAAACCTCTGATAAACACATCCGTCTTCATACTGTAGCTGCTGGTTGCTGTGACCTTTGGGACTGAAGCTTGTTTTTCTGACCCCTTTCAGTTTTTTTTTCTGGAAAAGTCTAATATAGTTTGACTTTTTGAAACTCTGCAGACTATCGACTGGGAAGCCCTGATGGCCAAAAAGTTAAAGCCGCCGTTTGTGCCGTCGATCAAAGAGCCCACAGATGTCAGCAACTTTGACAGCGACTTCACTCGCCTCCAGCCGGTCCTGTCTCCGCCCTCCAAGCCCTTCAGTCTCTCAGCAGAGCAACAGGAAGCTTTTGCAGACTTTGACTTCTGTGCTTTACATGGTTGATCAAAGGACTGAAGAAACCCGGTGGCCAAAATAAGAACCAGTTTGCGGGTATCACTATCCGCCTTGACAGGTAACAACCAAGTACCAAATATGCATGTTGCCAAGTATAATCAGTCAGTGTTTCCTTCAGTAGTAGAAGTTGCAAGAACACTGATGTAATGATTTGTTTTAGTGCTGTATTAGCTGGTCAATAATACAGTAAAGTGGTGTCAAAATAATTCTCTTCATCATCAGCCCTTTACAAAGCCTCATTTTGGACTCTTGTAACCTCTTTGCTCTTGATTGTTACACCATTTAGACCTCAGTGACTGATTATAAAAACAACTGTTTGAAATAAAAACACAATGAGCATAGTGTAGCAGAAAGTGGTATTGATCCGTTTAGACAAGCAGGACTTTAATCTTTAAATCATTTTAGATCCGACAGTTAAAGATAATCTCCTGACCCGGTCTTGACTGTATCTTTGAATGAAAGACTTCTTTGGTGTCTTCTGCAGCTCAAACATTTACAGACAGGACAAAGCTCTCAATAAAATAACGCTGACTGTTCTCAGTCATGCTGCAATCAACAAGAAGCTGTCAATTAGGTAAACAATGGGTTATTTTTAACGGAGCTGAGGACGTGATGGTAGACATGATCGTCTGTGGGGGTGGGAGGGATGGGGGGGTTAGACTTTCATCTGACTTTTAATCCTAGAATCAAAAAGACAACAACTTTCCCATCTCTTTGTCACGTTATTGCTGCTATTTTCTGTAAATGACATTGTTTAATTCTTGAGATGTCCACCTTGTGTTAAGTTACGGAGCATTCAGTCAATGGATATTTTTAAATCCTGTCTTTTTAAACTGGCCTTATGTGACAATAGTCCTGCCACTATGGTAAATCTACTTCTTCTTTTTTTTCCCAACTGAAAGTTCTATGTTTTGGTGCAATGAGGATAATTGACTGCAAAAATGATCTACAAATAGAGGACGAGCAAAAATGTCTTAAATTAAGCACATTTACCATTAATATGAGTAGGTAAATAAGATAATTTGCCAATGGAATTAGTATTTTTACTCTTAAAATAAGATAATCAGATAATATGCATTTGAAAAAGGACAAGGCAGTTGTTTTTTCTTATTTTAAATATAAATTGTCTTGTTCCATTGGCAAAGTGTCTCACTTACCTCCTCAGTTCAAGAAAAAATGCACTTATTGCAAGAAAAACATGATTTATTTAGATTTCAATTTTTTACAGTGTTGTTTTTATTGCTTTTTTGTAAACCTTTTTTTGTTTTTATTTCTCATTTAATAAAACCAAAATAAGTTTGAAATAACTTTCGAGATCAAACACAGATTGAACTAAAGATTTGTTTGACATCTTCATTCTGCAATGAGCATTTAACCACTAAAGGAAAAAGTCCAAAACAGATCAGTAGCACAACATTTATTTGCAGACATAGAGGATACCATTTCTTTTCCTACTTTTTAAAATTGTATTTCTAAACAAGAACTTGGAGAATCTGACAGAATGAATCAGTTGGTTTTAGGCTCGATGACAACACCTTTAAATACACACTTAGTTCATTTTTAAAACCCTTAAGAACTCAAAAAGAAAGGTTTAAAAAACACCAGGCTCCTTGAAAGTAAAAAACCAAACTCATAAAAAAAAAAAAAAAAAAAAAAAAAAATTCATAGAATGAATTTATACATATACAGCCAGGACACTTACATCAACAACTTCGAAAATGTACCAGAATATCAGGTTTAAGTACTTGGTACCTTGACTATGAATGACTACCGGTTAAATTGATTGTAAGTAGCTATTTTAGATGTTTTCAGTCCATCTAAAATACAACTTGTTCATAGCTTAACATAATACATGACTTAAGAAAAAGATTTACCACCGGAAATTTTTAAAGAACCACCATCTTGTTTCTAATTACTGTTTCAAAGTACAGATTGTCTTTTTGGGGGTTAGGGTTGACATTACGTAATAAAAGCACATCGTTTTTAACTTGAAAACTACTTCAAATCATAGAAAAATTTCAGACAGATTAATTTTTTTAATGATTATTATTATTTTTCAAAGTTATGAAGAGCCACCTGTGGCTGCTGAGGTTGCAGACCGCTGTGTTAGCCCGACTAGCAGTCAGCTAGACTCTCACTGTAAGATACTGATGCTTCATAACCGCTCCAGAATCAACCTAACCAGAAGTAAAATTTATAATGTATATTTCTTAAACTATTATAGCCTGGTAAAAAGAAGTCTATATTTATTTTAGTGTTCAAGCTGTAAGTATTCTTGTTTAGACTCCCATAAATCCCTTGTTATGGAGGATTTACCTAGATCTACAGAATATTTAACATAGATTAAGGAGATAAAACTACATTTTGTTTGTCAAACTTTTACATAGTTTCAACAAATTTACTCTGTATCCATTTATATGTCTAATGTAAATAAATAAGTCAACTTTATTTAGACCAAACTAGCCAATCAAGGCCTTTAAGCCTCCTGTGTGTTCAAAACAGATATAGCTTGCTTTGTGGCCTTTGCTTATTATTAATTCACGTATAATAACACAACTTTTAGGAAAACCTCTGTTCTGCTGTTTCTATGCATCACTGTGAAAGGCTTTGCTCACTGCCTTGACAAAACGAACAGTTTAACCCGACGTTCATGTCCTCAAGTTGCTTGCTTGTAGCAAAGACTTGTGGTAACATATCAGTCTTTTCCAGGATGTCAGTCATTTTTGCTTATAGAGGACTTAAATTGTGCACTAGAGATCCTAGCAGTATAAAAGAAGCCATAGATAATCTACTAGGCCTATAGCCATGATCATAGTTAAGTGTCTGCTTATCATTGTTGCATGTGGAATATTGGCCTACCGAGCTTGGGTTGGTAATATTAGGGAAAAAACAATAAGATGTGGGGTGCTAAAGGGGATATGTTTGAGGGAGAATTATGAGTTTATGATTTTTTTAAAACACAATACACATAATATTCCTTTTTAGGTTTTAGTAACTTAAAAAGATTTAAACAACTCATTTTCCTGTCAGGTGAAAATTAATTTTACTTAACTTAGAGCCACTATATTCAGTAAACACAACAGGATGGTAACTGAAATTGGAAAAAAACATAACAGATTGATCTGGTTTCCCTTTGGGTATAACATGTAAACACATAAGAATGAATATAGTCCATATATCAAAGATTGTTAGAGAACAATAATCTCACACTAGCTCGTTTTTACATTTTCATGATAAATGTAAAATTATGAATAATTCATTTTTCTCTGACACAAAAGCTCTAATTATTTCACCCTTCATTGTCCTTCACACCTGTGGCGTCAGGGTTGACACCATCTATCTTCCCTAACATTAAAAACCTCAAATAAATTTTAAAAACTCCTAAAAAGAAATGTTTAAAACTCCCAACAGGTTATTTTTCCATCAATGTGATGCTTAATTAGTGCAGAAGGTTGATTGAATGGAGGTAAAACCCACTGATCTTGATATCTAAGGAAATCACACCATCACAGCAGAGATGGACTGATACACAGGCTGGCCCATTTTTCTCATTTTTTTGTTGTTTATATTAGCATCAGAGGATATGTGCATGAGTTATTTTTTGTTTCTTTTTTCTTTAAATGCAAACTTGTCTATCGTGTCTATTTCTATAGTGTCAGTGGAGAGAGAAAAGCAATAAACAATGGGAGTAAATATCGAGGATCGGTTAAGACGAGCCAAAATAAGAGATCAGTGTCGGAAACAAGGCGCACTGAACTATCAGGAATACATAAGGATTGTGTTCCTAATCATTGTTTAAAAAACCTAAAAGTAACATAAGAAACTTTAATACATTATTTTTTTTTTACATTTAAGTTTTGTGCTTCTAAATTTCACTTGCTTAAAATCATATCAGGGTTGTAGAAACTGTGAGAATTAGCCCCCATAAACAAAGAATAACCTTTCCAGATGTCCTTAAAGGACATCTGGAAGTAAACTGAGACCTCAACATGTTTTTTTTTTCATCTGAAAGGTGGGAAAGAAGGTATTTTGTTCAGCTGAACTAGGAAGCTGTAGGACATTTAGCAAAATGTTGTAGCACTTTATTAAACTGCCGCTGCTGCTGAGTATTACATGTTAGATCTGTTTGTCAGAAATGTATGTAAATGTCTATGTGAAGCATCCCGTGTAGGAATGTCAGTGTGCACAGATGCCTCTAACATATCATGCATATCGAATTTAAAAAAGTGTTTTAATGTCCTTAATAAATAAAAACAAATCAGTACAGTAATAACATTTTTGACTTCTTTTGTTTTTCTGCACAGGATTTCACCAAAACATGTTGAACAGTTAGAAATACATTACTGACATCAGTATATACAGGCAGTTACAGACATTGAGGCAGTTAGTGTTAGTGGGTCATAATCACAAAACCTGAGTAATGATTTCTGATAATGCTGAGTGGCTTTTGGCTTATATTTTATAATTTTGAGGACATTTTCCCTACAAATAGGAAAAAAAAAAAAAAAAAAAACAAAGGCTGTCAACATGCAGAACCAAAAACCATTTAAAAAAATGTTATGTGTGTTTGTCACAAACATATGATCAGTAATAAATATGTAAACAGCGTCCGGAGTGTTCACACGTCAACACGCCCGTACAAACAGGTCTTTGTGCGTGTGCTTGTTGATGGCTGCAGTCTAACGCTGTGCGGCGGTGATGACGTGAGCTGAAATCAACTGTAAATACAGGAAAAGGTCTTAAGTTTACATTAAACTTCACACCTTTAATCAGTTTGGATCTGTGATCAGTCTCTGAGCCCTTTTTGTTTATGTATGGGGATCAGACAAAAATAAAAACAGTTCTGTTTATGTATGAGCCTTAAGTATGGAGTAAACTCTTTTCCATAATTGTTGCAAGACAAGAACACGTTTTGCAAATGTATATTTGAAATTAATGCAAAAACAAAATAAAGACTTTGAGAAAAGGGTTTTAAAATTAGCTTTGCTTTTTATCCAGATTTTATTTTTATAATTTTACATAAAATTTAATTTCACAGATCAAATTTTTTCCCACTAATTGGGGTTGATTTTCTTCTGGCATCAGGAGCAAAGACTCATTTCTATTGGATTGTATGGATGTTGGAAACAACATTTTTATTAGTCAAGAGCGAGTGTTTGCATCAGGCATTAAGCGAAGAGAATGTAATCTGAAAACTTCGAAAAACGAATTTAAAATTGTATAAAATCTATAAAAATATATGAAAATTAAAATCTAAAAAAAAAACCCAGCAGTTATTCTTAAAATCTTTTAAATAAGTTCTTCAAACTTTAATATTTGGATTATTTTTCTGTTTAGAATTCATGTATTTTGCTTGCAACCATAATGGAACAAACCTCACTCCATACTTTATTAAAAAAATGCAATAGTTCTTCTGCTTCTGTTCTTTGGCCATTTTCAGAAACAACAATAACAGACAACAAGAAACTGATCCAGTATTTGGTTCTAAACTTTCTGCTTTAAAAACACTCACTATTTCACAACCATTTAAATAAAAATGTGGGTTTGTCTCCTTTGAAGCAAAATGTATGACAATAAGATTTTGCTTTAAAGAATCAGCATGTCCATCGTTGCAACGGGTGGAGTTCAGGCAGGGTTTGGGGGAGGTTTATGATAGACCTGCTCCCACATCACCGTCCTGCAGATACAGAAAAAGTCCCACAGGTTGCAGAAAACGCCTCGGTCGAACGGGTTCTCCTCCTTCCCGCAGTTCTTCAGGTATGAGATTCTGTGTCGGGACATGAACTCCCAGGTGGTGCAGTTGATGGAGACCAGGTAGAGGTGGCAGCCCAGGAGCAGCAGCACAACGCCGGAGAAAACCCCGACCACGGCGAGCGCCGCCAGAAGAAACCCATTCGCTCTGAACCACAGCTCCCAGGTGACACCAGGAGAAATCCCCGAGCTGAAACACACAGTAAAACAAAC